AAAGTAAAGCTTCAAGGATACCATTTATATTTTAATCCACCGCATTCCCATGTAGAATATGATAATGCTGTACTGTGGAAAAAAATTGTTTTATATATCGTTAGATCGAAATTTCTTTGCTCGTAGTTTTGTTAATTGATGCTTTTCTTAATGTTTTAGTGGTATATGAAATTTTATATTATAGACCCGCTAAAGATTAGCAGGTCTAAATCATTTTAATAATAAAATTAGAAGCAAATATTAACCTTCCGTGTACATCATCGCATTAACACAGAAGCTAATGAGATTTGATAATAAAATTAGAAGCAAATATTTCCGTTGCGTCATCACTCGTGTTTTAAAAAACAATACAAAATGAAACGTTCTATTAGAAAATAAAATCTTACTGCAAAATTTTAAATATGAAATACGAAAATGTATGATTAAATTCGTACACGTGAATTATTGTAAGTGGGAATATTCTTGGATTATGATTTTTCTCAAAAATAAAATAAAATAATGATTTTTGTATCTTTTTCTTTGTTTATTTTTCAAAGAAATTTTAATTTTTTAATTAAAAATTAAAATAACATTAATTTATTAAAAAATTATTAGTTAAAGAATAATAAATAATATTTGAATTCCATAATAATTAATATTAAAGTAAAAGTGCAATCATAACACTTTTAAGTAATTTTTATACTTTATTTTTAATCAATATTTTTATCAGTATAGTTTTGAATAATATTTCACGTAAAGGAACAATTTCTAATCACAAATATTTTTCTTTTTACAGTTATATTTTGAATTTTATACTTTATACATTTATTAAAATAATAGATATTATATTAAAACATGAAGAATAATTTATATACATATGGATACTAAATTTATACAAAAAGTAAAAAATATATAATAATAACAATAATAATGAAAAGAACATGAAAGGAGTAAAGCACGCAGAGGGAATTGGTGGGTCCCAACTTCGGAGGCATACAACACAAGATGCCGGCCACGTGAATGGCTAACTTTTAAAAAACTAATAATAATAACTTTGTAGATAAAGTGGGGCCCATGTGAGCCACGTAATAGGTTATGGACCCCACATAGGTGGGGCCCAATCTATCCATATTTCTCTTCAAAGTTCTATGTCTATCTTTTTAATTCGCATCACAGGCGCAGGCGTAGGTCCCGATATTTGTTGGAAAAAGCCTTCCAGGAAGACTGACATGTTCGCTCAGGAAATCATCAACGTAACAGTAATGTCCCTGTTCTGACACGTGTCATACCATATATGTCCCACGTCACCTCATTTAACCCGGTCGGGTCCTCTTCACCCGTCACTGTTCACTTCACCTTCTTCGGATAAGCTTTTGGGCTCCCTCAAGTCAACACATACAAATATACCATTTTTTATTTTTTATATTTTTTCTTTATCTTATCTTTCCTTCTTCTTCTTCCTATTCATTTTATATTCCTTTCTATCTTATGAAATAAATTTTATTGTAGAAATTTGGTGTAGATGCAAGTGTGAATTTAGTAAGATTTTAACATATCTTGGTAGAATCATTTTACAGTACAAGTTCATCTGTACGGTATCTTTGTAGAATGAATTTCTCTTCATACATAATTTTCCCCGTTATTTAATTGTCTCGTTATATCCATACAGGCTAAAGTTTTGGATGAGAAGGAATTTTAATTTTAAAAATAAAGTTAATTATTATAAATATAATTGTTTTTTTTTTCATTTTCTCTTTCCTAAATAAAATATAGTGCGAGTACTGAGTATTTTATATTGAATGACTTTTTTGTAAAATTCTCCATTACAGGCTCAGCATATAAATTATATTTCAAACGGACAAAATAATATACAATTATTTACAGATTTGTTAATGTAATATAGACTTACTAAGGTTTAAGTATTTGTTTCAATATTAAAAAGTATTGATTTATTTTCGTCATTTTAAAAAATATACAATGTTGTATTTCTTTATCCAACTTTTTTTTTAAGAAAAAATTTTATTTTGTCAAATAAAATGTAATTTTACATAATAATTTAATCATTTTAATTATTGCATGTTATCAGATTAAGATGAAAAATAAACGTAGCTTGGATACAAGTTTAAAGTTGAAAATTATACAGAGAATAATTTTTTTTTATATACATGAAACTGCTCGTCATGAAGTTTATGTTACATACCATACAATGAAAGTAATTAAACTTAATTAAATTGTTTCAGTTGGTAACGCTGTTCTTTATTTAATCCTTACATTCTGTTTTTTCGGATAATACTGCACCTTACAGCCAATCCGTATACCATAGTTAACAACTCCAGCAATATACTAGCTGACAAAGGTACCATAACAATAATAATTTTGGACTTTCAGTTGAAAAAGGCATAACCTAATGCTAATTTTTTTAATGAAATATTAAAATAATGAAGTTTTTTTTTTTTTTTTTATCAAGGGTAATTGTAGGTAGATTGGTTTTAATTTTTAAAAAAAGGCCTAAATTAATTAAGAGTGGGTTAATTGTGTATTTTTTTTCTCATGAAAATTTTTAAACTTTTCTTCAACTACTGTTAAAATTGACGAGTTTACATTACATTTTAATAATTATTAAAAAATAATAAATAAAGAGTAATGTGTATTAAAAAATATATTTAAAGATATATTGCCAATATTCTTTTCTGTCTTAAATATATATGATTTTTTTTTCTTCAAATTTCAGATTTAAGACTAACTTACTCTTCCCTTGATAAAGTCATACAAACCTAGACTAGACCTAGTTTTATTAAAGATTGACTGGATATCGTAACCTACTTTATGATAATGTTTTAAATAGAGCAATAAACCAACGTTTCAATAGGTTAATCGGGTTAAGCTAAGAAATAGGGTTTATAACTTTTGGTTATTATGAAAAATACAGATTATGATTATATTAATCATCCTTTTTTTTTCAGTTAAGTAATTAAAAAAAAAACCCAGTCTTTCTTGAAAACAAACCAAATAAATAATGTCTAATGCAAGTTATTATATTACTCATTCATTTAATTTTTTAAAATATAAAAATATAAATTTTAGAGGTTTATTTTAAAAAATTAGTACCCAAAACTTAGTTCAAACCAATTCACGTTAAAATGTTAATTTATATTTTATGTTCTTGGTGCATAGATTAAGGAGTAGAAAAAATTACAATAGAATAAATAGTTTTTAAGATAATATCTGAAAGTAATCTTCATGGTTAAGTGGGTTTGACATTTTAATCTTTAAAATGTTTTAAAAATATTAATTTTTTCTCTATAAAAGATAATTTATTTTAGTTTCATAATTTGCATTATTTTTCCTGCTATTAATATAATTTTCTTAACTGAGACAAGAATAAAAGAAACAAAAAAGTTATACAGTAATTGAAGGGATTTAATCCGTATAATGTGGAAAGTATCCCTTAAAATTAGAATTAAAAAATATTATTATATGAAAGCAACGTGCGTGGTAGAATGGGGAGGAGAGAGTGAGAGTGAACGTGGCATAAAAAGATTAGTGGGAATGGAAGAGGCGTGGGTGCCAAGTCAGCAGTCAAAAGTTGTCCGTGAGGCTAAGACGACACCCACACGCCACGTTCCTTAGGCAGAGAACCACGTGGCCACTTCTAGGAACCCATTTAACCTTCACACATCATTACATTACATATATATAAATAAAAGAAAAAAAGTTGCCAACCAAATCTTGTGCAGGAGAGAGAAACAAAAAAGTGATACCAGGAAGCTTGCGCCATCCGTGTGAACATGGATTGGGATCTTGTTGGCGACCCAGTAATCCCTACTTTTTCTCCATTAAACGTTCCCGTTTTCTCCCACCTGTCCATCAACCGTGATTTCTATCCCCTTTTTCCCTATTCAACCTTATATAACTATATTCTCTAAATATATTCTCAATACTAAACCCAATTAATTATTATTTTCTTTTAAATTACAAACTTGTTCTTATCTATACAATTCATCGCACAAATTTTAACTCACAACTGTCTTTGTTATCGCAATTAAAATATTTACTCGGTAAATCGGTAATCTCATAAACAACGTTATCCTTTTATTCATATTTGTTTCTTTTTCTATTATTAGAATGGAAGCTTTTTATTCTTTTCTGCATTGTCACATATTCTTTCATTATTCGATTTTCCGCAATATTCTGTCCACAGTTATTTTTATAAGAAATATTATTAACATTAATGTACTAAAATCAAATAAAACTAAACGATTATCTGTTAAAATTCAAATATGGTTAATACGAATTACTTCTTCTGTTTGTTTTCATTTGACATTTATTAAATGATTTAAAAAATACTTCCTAGTTTTGTGCTGTACTTTTTATTTATTATACTAAAATTTTTCCGATATAATAATTTTTATATGTTATAAAGTAAGTATTAAACAAAAAGTATGTGTATTTATTATTTTAAAAAATATACAATACATTTAATTTTTTATTTAATAATTTAAAATAAAAATAAATTATTCCTGTACTGATTCATACTTTATTTATTATTTTATATCAAATACATTAATTATTAAAGTTAAAATTATACAAATTAACTATTTATTAATTTTATAAAATAACGATGAAAATAAATAAAATTACAAAAAAATGAAAAAAAAAAAAAAAAGGAAGAAGAAACGGAAAGAGTAGAATTTTATTTCTCTTACGTTGCCGTAAAGACCACGTGATCCTATGAATTAGCATTCAATTCATATTTTATTTTTTCATCTTCCAATACACACACATATCCTTATCCTTTTCGACCGGCTATACCCGGTAATCTTGCAAACCAGAAAAGGAGGCTTACACAGACAGTAAGCTAAAAAGTGAAAGATAATGTGATCGGAGGGCGGGGAGAGAGAGTAGTCGGTTACAGTTATCCCTGAGTAGAAAAGTTATGAGAGAGAAACAAATCTGAACCGTTAGATGGAGGGATTTGCGTGGTTCCCATATAAAGAACCGGTTCGGTCTCCTTTGGCTTCGTTCTTATCCGCACCAGTGTCGTAGTTTTCTTTCTCGCAGACAAAAACGCCACCCACGCTCTTCCATTATGGAAGGTGCATCAGTATCTAGGATTTCCATTACTCAAAGATTTATCTTCCTCTGCAACACCCACCTATAATACCATCAACCCAATCGCAAAAAGACTCCACCTTCAACTTCAAAACCCTTAAAAACAATAAAATAACTAAATAAAAGCTCTTCTTTTCTTTATTTTTTTCAATTTTTTATTCTATTATTTTCTTCGTTTCGGACAATGCTATCAAGATCTTGCTTGGGGCTATTGAATTTGGTATCAGTGGATGACTACCAGGCCCTGAGTCGCGTTCCGCGGGTTATGACTGTCGCCGGAGACGTGCCGGAGTTGGAGATCGACGACATGGAGAATTCTGGATCGGACGGCATCCTTTCTCCGGTGTCGCGCGAACGGAGGATTGTGGTGGCCAACCAGTTACCGATACGCGCCATTCGCGAGGGGAAGAAATGGAGGTTCGAGTGGGACAGGGATAGCCTCGTGCTTCAGCTGAAGGATGGGTTCCCTTCGGAGGTTGAAGTATTGTACGTTGGTTCATTGAAAGCAGAGATCGAAGCGACGGAACAAGAAGAAGTGTCTCAGTTACTTCTAGAGAGGTTCAGTTGCGTTCCAACGTTTTTGCCCACCGAGGTTCACAACAACTTCTACCATGGTTTCTGCAAGCATTATCTCTGGCCTCTGTTTCACTACATGTTGCCCATGTCGCCGAGCCAAGGCGCGCGTTTCGACCGAGCGCAGTGGCAGGCCTACGTGCTCGCCAACAAGATCTTCGCCGACAAGGTCACCGAGGTTATCAACCCCGACGAGGATTATGTCTGGGTCCACGATTACCACCTCATGATCTTGCCCACTTTCTTGAGGAAACGCTTTCACCGCGTGAAGCTCGGGTTCTTCTTGCACAACACATTCCCGTCGTCGGAAATATACCGTACGTTGCCCATTCGAGAGGACATTCTACGGGCGTTCTTGAACTGCGATTTGATTGGGTTTCACACCTTCGATTACGCGCGGCATTTTTTGTCTTGTTGTAGCAGGATGTTGGGTTTGGATTACGAGTCCAAAAGGGGTTACATTGGTTTGGATTATTACGGTAGAACCGTGACCATTAAGATCCTCCCCGCGGGTATTCACATGGGGTTGTTGGAATCGGTGTTGTCGTTGCCTCAAACCGCTTCGAGGGTGAAGGAGTTGAGGGAGCAGTTTGAGGGGAAGGTTGTGATCTTGGGGATTGATGACATGGACTTGTTCAAAGGTATCAGCTTGAAGTTCTTGGCGTTGGGGCAGCTTCTGGAAGTGCACGAATGTTTAAGGGGTCGTGTGGTGTTGGTTCAGATTCTTAACGCAGCGAGGAGTAGAGGGAAGGATATTCAGGATGTGAAGAACGAGAGCGAGGCTATTGCTAAGGAGATCAATGAAAAATACGGAAAACCTGGGTACCAGCCAATTGTTTGCATCAATGGCCCCATTTCAACGCAGGAGAAGGCTGCGTATTGTGCTATTTCTGAGTGCTGTGTTGTGAATGCTGTAAGGGATGGGATGAATTTGGTGCCTTATGAGTACACTGTTTGTAGACAGGGAAGTGCTGCGTTGGACAAGGCACTTGGTATTGATGGCGAGGAGGGTTTGAGGGCTAAGAATAGCGTTATTATTGTCTCCGAGTTCATTGGGTGTTCCCCCTCGCTGAGTGGAGCCATAAGGGTGAATCCGTGGAACATTGATGAAGTCTCTGAGGCCATGAATTTGGCTATTGGAATGCCAGAGGCAGAGAAGCATTTGCGGCATGAGAAGCATTATAAGTATATAAGCTCTCATGATGTGGCGTATTGGGCAAAGAGTTTTGATCAGGATTTGGAGAGAGCTTGTAAAGAGCATTACTTGAAGAGGTATTGGGGTGTTGGCTTGGGCTTGGGGTTCAGAATTGTTGCTTTGGATCCTACCTTTAGGAAGCTTTCCGTTGATCACATTGTCTCTGCCTATAGGGATACGGGCAATCGCTTGATCCTTTTGGACTATGATGGCACAATGATGCCCCAGGCATCCATTAACAAGACTCCAAGCAGTGAGGTTATTTCTGTCTTGAATGATTTGTGCAGTGATCCCAAAAATACAGTGTTCATTGTGAGCGGCAGGGATAAGGATTGCTTGAGCAAGTGGTTTTCTCCCTGTGAGAAGCTTGGTCTCTCTGCTGAGCACGGTTACTTCACTAGGTACGTTTAACTTCAATGTTATAGGAAATTCAAGAAGTTGGGTTTTGGTGTTTTTGTTGACCCTTCTGTTGTTTTTGTTCTGGCAGGTGGAGTAAGGATTCTTCTTGGGAGACTTGCGGATTGACAACCGATTTTGAATGGAAAATGATTGCAGAACCCGTGATGGCGCTTTATACTGAAGCAACGGATGGTTCCTTCATAGAACATAAGGAAAGCGCACTGGTTTGGCACCATCAGGAAGCGGATCCTTATTTTGGATCATGCCAAGCAAAAGAGCTTCTTGATCACCTGGAGAGTGTGCTGGCCAATGAGCCAGTAGTGGTTAGAAGGGGACAGCATATAGTTGAAGTTAAACCTCAGGTATGAATCGTTAAGTCCTACACGTTTTACTAACAATGTGTATTTGATTGTTTAGACAATGATTTTTCTTTTAGTGCATTCTTGTTTTGAAGAGACGTAAAGAAAGGTTTTTCATTTTAATAGGATGAAAGTTGTTTACCAAGGTGAATTTTGGTTGAGTTATTTGTTGTAATTGCTGTGTTTGTGAGATGCAGGGTGTGAGCAAGGGTAAAGTGGTGGAAGACCTTATCTCAAGAATGCAAAGGGAGGGGAAGTCACCAGATTTTCTACTGTGCTTAGGAGATGATCGCTCGGATGAAGATATGTTTGAAAGCATTGCTCGTTCAGTTTCTAATCCAGCTCTGCCAACCATTTCAAATGTGTTTGCATGCACTGTTGGCCAGAAACCAAGTATGGCTAAATACTATTTGGATGATACTAGCGAAGTCATCAAGTTGCTTGAAGGACTTTCAACCGCATCAGCACCACCTGCATCCATAACTTCCCAGGAACTGCAAGGAACGTTATAGAAACTGATACAGAAAACAATCTTGTACAGAATGATACTTTCATAGGTTGATTTTAAAAAGTCAATACTTAGAATTTTACAGATTAGCTCATTCATGTTCTTCACATAACTTTGCAACAAAATTTTCTTCTTGTATGACAAGGAATATAAGTTTCTTTCACCGTTCAAATGAAAACACGTCTAACAGCAATCTTTCAACAGTATACTAAGGTTTGAAGAGACAACGAAGTTTCTTGATTATGATCAAAATTGGTAGGGAGATTAGGGCTTGACACTGCCTGTCAATTTTTCGAACTAAAATTACCAATTATTCTTATTTTCGTCGACCTCCTGCAGAAGTTTCCTTGGTCTCTGGGTGAACAGAAACTAACACGGCTTAATTTACTCTATCTATCTATTATTATTATTATTATTGTATCTACGTTGGGTTTGTTGATGTTGGAAATTTTAGGGGGGGGGGGGGGGGGGGCATGCAGTTCAGTTTGGATTTTAATTAAATTTAGGCACGAGTACCATATGATGAGGTTCACTGCACGCTGTTGAAGTCCAGAAAAAGTTGCAAGTACTAGCTGTTCATAACAGGCTGGCAAATTTATTTTTTGTAGCAAAGAACTTGCCACGGATTCTACAGTATGTATAACAGTTAATCCTCTACAATCACCCGGACTCGTGTGTTTGAGAACAAAATAATGCTACCAACAATAATCAATTTTGACTTGCAGTAAAACCCTCTCATATTGCATTTTGAAATTACCACAACCTCTATCAACAAAATTCAGCAAACGTTCAATTACTAATTTTTAAAGTTGCTTAGACACTATTATTTCTCGATCAAACACCGATGCAAATAAACAAATATTAAAAAAAAAAGTTTAATTAGGAATAGTGCCTACTCCTTATACCCATGTTCTTATAAATTAACATTATTCTTGATAATGTTAATAACTTCCTTTGGAACACTTTGAAATACAACCACATGCTGACCTTTTATTTTATTTTTTTTAAATTTCAGAGGGTCGGCAGAAACTTCAAATGCAGTTCCCAACTACTTGCTTAAACTTCTCCTAGTGAAAGAACAATTTTCTTTGGCTAGCTTCGTCATTAACTAATTGTAGTAGCGTTGTTGATCCCACCTAAAAGCAGTTTTTAGATTGACTTGGAAGCTCAGAAATCAGTTTACATGGTCCATGAAATTATCTTGGATCCTAATGATCCAATAACATTTGTCCAGGTAAACTAGCATTTGGTTCCACGGAGACAAGGACTCAAGGTAGCATATTCAATTTATGTGGCAGGGTATCATGAGAGTGATCAATCATATAAAAGTTTATATCTTAAGCAGCTAATGTTATGTTGACACCTGGCACGCAACCAGCTGGAGTGATCTTATCCTTGTGAACCATACTCACTCGAGCATCACTTGTTTCTTCACAGGGAGCTAAGTCTATATTGATAGACAATGAAAACAAGCTTCCTTAAACAAGTAGATAAAGTTATCTTAGATTTTAAAAAATACAACCCCGGATTGTTCCTTAGGATATCCCAATTCAGTACAAAAATGAGGTCAAGTTCACTGAAACGTGTGCGGCAATTTTTCTTCTTTTTTCCTTTCCTGAGTGTACTACTTCTGCTTCTTTTCTGTTTCATTAATTTGGAATATGATCAATCAAGCTAGTTGTGTAGGTGTAGTCCATATCCACGCTACATATGGCAAAAGTGTATATGGCCAACGTGCCTAGAGTAAGGACTGGTTCACACTTTGACAAGTGTTGCAAGATGGGTTCAATTTTTCCAACATATCCAGAAGCTCCACCCTCATTTGGTCCTTGATTTATCACGCATCATTAAATCTGAGCTAAGATTATATACTTGAATTTAGTTAAAGCATGGCATGTTGAAGTGTAGCTAGCTTATGGTAGGTTAAACTAATTAAATGAGTTTGACTCAGGTTTTGGTTTCTTTTGTCTACTCAAACTCTATTAATCCCATTAAATTCGAATTGATTTGGATTAAATAATTAGGTCATATGTATGTTTAATTGTTTTGAAAAATATTCATTAAATAATGAAAATAATATATGAGAATCAAGTCAAGCTAAATTTTAAAACTATTAATTAGGAGCTTAGTCTAAACTAATTAAATTTTATTTGTTTTTGATTTATTTAACTCATTTATCCAACCCAACTCAGAATCTATTTGTATGACGTTAAAATTTTGTTACTATCATTAAAAGTGTTTTTGATTTTTGTAATAAGAACTATAGCCATTCATGAATATTTACAAAATTAATTGCTAATTTTGTAACTTAAAAGCAAACAAGCATATTACGGTTGTGCAAATATCATACTTGGATTCAAATTCTCTCTAGTGGGGTGATAATTAGATGTCCAATTTTATTTTTATTTAAACAAAAATGAAGAAAATAACAAAAAAAATTTACACAAAATTTGTTTAAACAAATTTTTTTAGTTTAATCAAATTTTGCACAAAAAAAGGCGAAGTGTAAGAGAAGAAAGAACTGAGAATGGATGAGAATAGAAAGAGCTAGTAGTGTAGAAAAAATGATGAAAAAATTAATTATATAAAAAGAAAAGAGGTAAGTATGGGGATGAGATAAGAATATGAAAAAGAAGAATAAAGTTGGGTATAGAGGTAAGGTGAAAGAAAAAAGGAATTAAGAGAGAAAAAGATGAACTAATTTATTTAAGTAAAGTTTGCTTAAATTTATTTTTATCATTTTCTTTATTTTTGCTATAGAATAAGACATTTATTTCTCATCACTAAAGAGAGTATCCCAATTCAAACAAAAAAACTCTTGATGCTTCAAAAAATTCTAATCTCTCTTGCTGACGAAAAATTAAAATTGAACAAGCACTCAAATTTTAAATTACAAGTGTGAATTTATTATTCCGTGAGACATGTAACCTTAGCTCACACGTTACACATTTGAACATTTAGAGTAAATTTCCAATGAACATCCTTATGCAAATTTATTATTATGTTTTGTCTCTATCTTAAGTACACATTTTTTTGGTAAGGTATCTTAGGTATATTTGAATGTGAATATTGGATGTTACATATTATTGCAAACTAATCCAACTCCAAATATCTACATAAGTGCAGCACAAAATTAAGTCTCTGCATAATCTTGCGTAAGTCTCTATTATCCATAAAGAAATACAACAACTAAACAATTTTTAATAAGAAGTTTTATTATCAGTAAAAATTGTTTTTAAAAAGAAAAACAAACACTCTTAACTCTTTTTTATGTTAGGTGAAGTTGACTATATAAATTAAATGAGATAACAATGTTCTATTGTAAATCATGTTTATAGATAAATTATGGATTCTTAAATCTTTTATCATATGTTTAATTTTTTCTGTCTCTATTGTCTCTAGAATTACATTTTACTTAACCTACTCTTCTTGAGGTTTAAAGGTCTTTTTCACGTGTTCAAATTATCTGGAATGAAATTTGTTTCATCTTTTCTGTAACAAATGTTGTGTAATTTTTTTTAATGAAATCCTATCTTATCTAGTGCATTCACTCATCAAATACGACTTTCTTATTTTTGTTAGGTTAAATTTCATATCTCTAATTTTATACCCGTGCCATAAATTAAATTTTCCTTTAAACTCCATTGGTCTTTAAACCGATAACACCTGAAATAATATTGATTCATTTTATCCATCTGACTTGTTTGGTCAATGGTTATCCATCTCACTTGAATGGTTTCCACTTTCCACTATCTCCAAACTATGGGCCAAAATTTGTTTGGACTTTTTGAGACATACTTTACAGTGTGAAAGTGGTTAGACACAAACATGGGAAGCTTCAAGTTTGACCAAAAAAGAAAGTATGGGGAGACCTTCAAACTTTGCTGTTCTCTATATCTGGTTTGCAATACAGTTAACGTTAGCAGGCTGCAAGATTCTTTCTATATTCCCCCCCCCCCCCCCCCCGTTTTTTTTAAATTTTCTGCTTATATGTGTACATATTCTGAAAAGGTCGCTTCTTAGACTCAGAACCGAAGTTACAGCTTAATAAAGAAGTAGATAGAATGCAGGACAAAGACTGGTCATTCCACCTCATTGTTAACATGTCAAAGATTCAATACAGTAGTAGCTAGTTCTTCTAAGAAAAGCTTTTTCTAATGGTAACTGGAGTTGCATCCATGTATCTGTGGAGTGGTGCACACATATTCATTACACAGCAGTACCCATGATCATTAATAAGATATGGTTTAGTTAGTGAACATTTTTAAGAGAAAAAACATGAAATTATTTTTGACACGGGTAAATAAGATTATGTTTAAGTAAAAGATGAACACATCCTTATTGTTTATTTAAAAAATAAACTTTCTTTACAAAAGTCTTGTAAATTTATGTAAATTTACTAACATATGTGTTTAGGTTTAATGCTAAATGAGGAAAATTTAATAAAATCAAAATGTTCAACCACTCCTACGATAAAGATGGAAAGGATGAGATGTAAAAGTAATGTCTGGTGATTCAATTCAGTGCTGGCCTCTAGTTGAGATAGGAAAAGACTAAGAGTTTCCATTTCCTTGCTGTTTAAGATAGCTAAATCATAGCAACCAATGAACTGAAATCTTTTCCTTCGGCCTTTATCATCGTTCAATATCGTTGAGAAAAATCCTCCTCGTACCTAATCTTCTGAAAAAAAATATCTGATTGCTTTAAAGTGAACAAATATGTAAATAGCTTAGCGCATGATTCCTTTTTAACACGTGACAAATCCAAACGTTTTAATATATTGGTTGATAAATAAATAAAAACATTTGATGAAAATCCGCACGGTAATGATTTAACAGTTTTTGTCGAATTTCATTTCCTGCCAGGTCACATATGTCTGTGTAAAATAAAAAAAAGAGAGGATATATTTATGATCAATTTCAATTATTTTTATTATCTTTAAATTAATAGCGGATATATATTTTTCTTTTTTAATTCCTTGCAATTTTTCTTCTAAAATAATATAAACTCTGAGGCATGCATAAACATAATTCATGTTGTAGGAATTTTTTTCAGTATTACTACAGTATATATTTTCTTAAAATAGTAATATCTATCTTTATTTGATATCTCCCCCGCCCCGATTCATTTTATACGAGATCAACCAATTTTATTACACCCGACCTCATTAGAGCTGAATATTATTTTACAAATGTCTTCCACACAGTGGAAGACTTGTTTGTTTATGCTTGTTCTTGCAATCTACCAATGTTTAGAACTGTTTCATTCCGTCAAAATCTTAGCTTAATATTATTTCGTTTTAGAAAACATTGAATTGAAAGTTGCATTAGGCCAATAAAGGCAACAGTTCTCCAAATTTCATATTGACGATAAAAGAGACAGCATATAAATCTCCCTTGTCTATTAGTTAGAATCACTTTATTTGCGTTGTATTAGAAGGGAAAAAGTCAAAATAACCAAATGATATTTGTCTGCCAGTTTGACATAGTTGGATTGGTTACAAGAGCTGCATCCTCTTGATGACGCAGAATATGCACCAAAGGAGGAAACAATGTTGATACTTCATATTCATAGACAGGATAAGGGATGAGATCAGCAATAGAGGGTATACAGTTTTTCCAGACCCAAAGTCATAAAATATATACACTTCTCCCACACTGCTGAGATTTTCGCACACCAGACCCACAATATGCCTTTCATTTCAAAAAAGGGCCAACCAAGTGCAGGTAAAAAAAACGTTGATTATTGACTTCTTATGTGGATTACCTTTTTTTATATAAAAAAATTAAAATATTTAATTGAGTTTTGACTTTTTAATATTTAGAATCTGATTTAGATGTGTTGTGTTAAACATTTTTGTTCTTTGTTATTGACTTACCTTATCCCACTTTAACGAAGTAATTAAACGTCTCTTTCAATTAATTTATCTTAACGAGTGTTTGGTTTCGTGTAAATATTACTTGAACTTGCATTTTCTCCAACGCTACACACTGTAGTGTTTAGACATACACTTAAAAAAATCACTCTTTAATAACTTTTTTTCAGTTAGAAAGCTATTATTTTCATTTTTAATAAGATTGGTATTTATATACCGCTAGTTTTATGTAATAATAATTAATTACAACAGACATTCGGCAAAAATCCAAAAAACAAACCTCTATTTTCTATTCGAATTCAACACAGTGAGAAAATTGATTTCCTTCGAGTCCAAAGATATAAGGCAATTTTTGTCAACCGAGAGATATATCAAATCGGCTAAAAGGCCAAGCCTAAAATCACATGATACTGGGGCTATACTTGTTGAGTCCAACTATACATTTCTAACTTGTTTTACATACAAACAATGGTTCATAGGAACGGGAATGAAGCCCAACAAGAGAAGACGGGCTTTTAACGTAAGGATATAAGATGGGCTTTGATCCGCGAAGCATTTTGAAAGTGCTTGTTACTTGTTACAACTTAACATATATTTGCTGGGCCCACCGCAAATTAAGAATGGGAAAGGGAACACAATAGGTTCGGTGAAGCGCACAGATGGGCTCACGTATCTATAAATGGAGTATGCATCAACAGTACGTACCTTTAACCAAAAACTAAGTTAATAGATAACAAAATCTGAGTAGATTACAAGTTGACATAATGAGATCAAAATTGCCAGCTTGTTCCAGACCCATAGACTCTGACACGCATCATTATAAAGATTTGGGGTAGCATTAGATCGTTTCTGTCCCAGTGTGCTTATGGGCATGTCTTGTCCTGATTTTTTTTAAAATTATATTTATTTGAATAATTACACTCCTTTTTCCTAGAGTATCCCTTTCAACAGGTTGGTGAAACATTAATATCTGATGGTACGATGACTTTCCTAAACATTTTTTTTTACATGCATGCATGAATTGTGAAACAGAATTGGATTCATATGTTAATAGCATTCAAATTTCTTGCATTTAAACACCTGCTTGTTTTTAAGTAGTTGCATCGACTATTTATTAAGTATAGCTGATAATTTACTTTGTTTTAAATATTAAAATCAATTTAGAGTGTATAATAAACTTAATATTATTTA